AAAAATGTGATGTGTATTGTAATGGTACCCGCATGGGGAGTTAAGTTGTCCAATTTTCCTATCTTGGCTTGATACCAAACGAATGTAGGAAAAGATTTTCTAGGTGTCATTTTGATAAAGGAAATGCAACAATGCAATAGCCAATTGGTAAAATATGTTCCTAGCACCTCCGTTAAACAATAGGTTTTTGTTCTCAACAAACTATCCAAAGGCTCCATTTCTATATACAATCCAACAACTATTTCTAAGCAACAATATGCATATTTTCACCATTCGTATTCCAAAACTTCCAATTTCATTCTAGCATTTCAAATTCATAGATAACACCAAAATTATCAACACGAATACATCAATTTCAACATATCAAATTCTAGGGTTTTCCTCATAAATTGTGGCATTCCAAAGTAAGGTTTTCTCATGCAATTTATTATAGCAAAAATAGATTTCATAAGAGTAGTTAAGGAAAATACACCCAAATCATCAAACTGTAACCCAAATCTCATGCTCTTCCAAAATCAACAACAACAACATGCTAGTTTTATATTGAAAATACCATATATATACTAAGGAACTCATATTGAGTCAATAAAAAGAGACCCTCCCTCTTGAAGGGAAGAGAAGAAGCTAAAAATCACAATGAGCACCGAATCAACTTTTGGTTAAGATTAGCTCGAAGCCCTTGCCAAGCTCTACAACAATGGTGCTTTGTTCGGAGATTGAATCCAAGTCCAAATGCTCTAAAACCAAGGTTTAAACTCAAAAGAAATCGTAACAGTGTAGGGAGAGAAGAGATAAGAACCTAAACTGATATTTTCATGCATAGACCTACTTTTATAAATTCAAATCATCGCTGGCGCGAACTAATGATCACGGCTGCAACCTATGACATCGCGGGCGCGATCTAATGGTCGTGGGCATGATCAAGAAACAAAGTTTGCTGAAATAGGTTTTTCTGGGATAGTTCTAAGTGTAAAAAAATAGCAACTCCTAACACAAAAATGAAAGGAAGCTAATTAGCAATAATAAATAATGATGACAACAATGTGATCCATCCATTTGCAAGCCCAAGATGGTGACAGGGCATCCATACAAATGGATTCAAATCGGGTTCTAAAACCAAAACATTATATGTTCTAGGACACGAAGCTGGATCGAAAACCACTAGGCCAACCCACCATTGGGAGCACCAACCATAAGAAAAACTGACATCATCAAATATAAAAATATCATTACTACTGTAGACACCCCATTTTGACCGACCCTAAGACTTTAGGCGCTTACAAGCCTCCCGATGATGAAACCGTAACTACTTCATCTTTGGAACATTTAAGGTTGTTTAGATTTACTATATAAATCTATTTTAACCAAAAATTGACTTTTTGCGAAAATGATCATTTTACCCCTGAACCCGTTTTTAGCCAGAAACCAACTTTCTAACCCCGGGAAAGAGAGGAAATTCCGGTTGTGCTTTGATCAAAGACATTTTCTAAATTAGTGATCGAATTTCTTTAAAACATTGATTGGAAAGCAATTCGGGCTTACTTGGGCCACAAGCAAGCCAATGACATGGGACCTCGCACTTAAGCATGCATGGATGGCACGTGTACCAAGGCAAGTGGCGCGTGTACACATTGGTTGTACGTATGCACAACCAATGTGCATGCACACATCTATGCATAACAGAGCCATTTTTGGTAACACAATCTTAGTGCAATGTTGGAGGGAGGTAGCAAGAGAAAGCAGTGGAAACCTTAGAGGGACTCTAGAACCTTCCCTTCTACCTTATGAGCCTCTCCCCCTCTCTTTTAGAGGGTTTGTAACACCCCCAAATAAATGACATAAATAAATCTGATAATTCCATACAATTGCACTAATTTCAAATTAAATGGTCAAATATCTATATTTGTATTCCAATCATGCGAGAGATTTACAAAAGGAGTCCACATGTAATATAGATTCAAACTTCAAAAGAGTGAATATGTAGCATGTGTGACAATGAAAACAAATGGGATGACACAAAATAAGGCTACGAGTTCCAAGGCTTAAGCCCGATTACACCAAAGATAGTTATCAAAAAGAAACCCATACAATTATAGCCCTTGGCTTATCAAAATATACAACAAAAATAAAAGAGCCTCATGCTCTCAAAACATGTTCCTCGTCTTTAGCTAGGCAGAATGACCACATCCATTCCTGCACAAGTCCACTAGGGGTGAGTACAAAGCCCAATAGGAAATTCTTAACAAAGTATATATGTTTAAGCAGTTTCACAACATGCATGCTATGTAATGTCATGCTCCAAAAATCCATATCTTTATTCCTTTTTGAAAATCATGCGCAAATACTCTTTAAAAAAAACATACACCATCTTAGTAATTTCATAATACACAGTGAGGTGATAAATACGACTCAGGTAAACCCTAGACTGGTGTCTACAAGTAGGCTTATCAAGCACTACCAATCCTCACTTTACTGGCTCTTAACCAGAAGGCACGTGGCATCTACTCCGTGTGTGTTTTCAGTCTTTCACCCTGGACACTCAGGCCAACTTAGACAATATCAATCTACACCCCCTATCCGGACTTACCAGCATATTTACTCTAAAACCTTTTCAAGATCATCAATAGTTTTCTCAAAACAATGAATTCATTTCCAAAACGTGGCCATAATAATCGGTAATCAAAACTATGCAAATAAATGTACGTAAATGAAATTTTACAATTTTCATATTTCTCAACATTATGTCTTCAATGATGCAATTATCAACATTTCTCAATTTAATAAACATTAATTATATTCATGTGACATATTCACAAATTCTACAAGATTTTCAAATTTTTCCATGATCCAAGTATTCTCATTATACTATCCATGGTACTTTCTCAACAAAAATTCATCCATTACATAGATGATTTAACAACATAGTAGCGTATGCTCTTTCTTCAATAATTCTACCATTTTTCCCAAATTTCAAAATCTAGGGTTTCCATCCAACATGAATTTATTTGATTTTTAAGAGGTGTTTTAGCCAATAGACTTCCAAGCGTCACACATTTCACAAATAATAACCAATTTCATGGGAAGGAAGAGAAGTACCCCTTTTTAAAACACATTCAAAACCCCTCACTAAAACCCCAACTCATAACCCAAAGATAAAATCAAGAAAATGACTAGAACATGCCAAAATTGGCCATGTTAGAATATTATTTAGGATTTTATTAACAATTTAGTTATTGTCTTCTTTTATTTTGGAAACTTTTAGTTAGGATTTTCTTAGATGTGCCTATAAATAGGGCATTATGTAGTGGGGTTATTCAACTTTGACAATTGAATTGATATATCGAGTATTGAGATCTAGGTTCAATTTTCTTTTCTTTCGGTGTAGTTTGTTATTTTTATTTACAATATTTTTACTTTTTGGTCATCCCACATCACGAAGTTTTCCGCAAGCACCCTTTGTGCGTCTTGTGGCTTGGAAGCTAGATGAAGAAGTTTCGCCTTGGCACTATGCCCCCGTAGGCATAGCCAATCCTAATCATAGGGAGATATCATGCCACTAAACCTATCTATGAAATCTCAGTAAACAAGACAAATCCTAACAACTTGATTGCTTTCTAACAAATCTTAACAGAATCTCGAGAAAACAGGACAATTAGTTATGGCCACGTGACTAACCTTCCATAAATAGAAGTACTCCTTCACATCACTAGTTTCTTCTACATCACACTCTTCAAGAGAGGTTGGTCATAAACTATGTGCTTTGAGCTCCCCTACTCCACTGCCTCCCTCTTTCTCAGATAGATGGATCTATCTCTTACCAAGTCATCCATTGGGACTCTTTTATCTCACATGTTTTGTCACTCTCCAACAAACCTCTAACCAGCCCTTTCACGAAGACATGATCATGTAATTGAATACATAGGATGTAAGGAAGTAAAATATTTACCAACACATGAATATAATTTAATTTGGTAAGAACAGGATAGACTTTACTGCTGTGGGATTTCACCCAAATCCATTCAATGTCAAATCCAGGCCACACAAATTCTGTCTAGCTTCTCATTGTCAACCTAAAGCCAATGTAGATTTTCTTTCATGAAATACCAATAGAATTATGTGTCCACAATAATGAAGAGGCATCCCTACATGGCTCGTTTTATATATGCGTGCGTAACTTGATGACATGTTCAGCCACAAAAAGGCTAATAAAATCATTATGAAGATGTCAAAATGCCATAAAACTTCAAAATAGGTGGTCCAGATAGATACACTTGGGCCAGAAGGTCAAAGTAATACAACAATTATTGTGGCATTTAGAGTGGTAATGGTAATGTCTGCCACCCTTTTTCCATTCTATTTACAATGAAACATGGAGAAAGGAAGGGAAAGAAAAGCAAGGCAGGGTAGCTTGAGTGGAAAGTGTCGTTATATGGAGAGAGATGGATTTGGGGACGTAATACTACACAAGAACGGTCAAACTTGATACATCTATATTGCAATGAAGGCTCAATTGGAAAATAGAAACTTCTAGTGTTGACTAAGATAGATGGTAAACTAAATCTCTAATTTGATTTATCACTTAGAATAGTGCCTTGATCCAAAATTATTCTCATCCTGTATTTTCTAAGCAACCAAAACAAAAACATCTATCTTCTCCCAATTGTTGTAAATCAAGTGTGAGTGTAATATTCTATTTCTTATTCTTAATTCAACAAGTCCAGAAGGCAAGATTGTACTGAAGAGATTGACATTTAAAACATAATACTTGTGGTCACCTTGTGGATTAGGCAATCCAAATTCTAAATAACAAATGGTCTCTTTCACCTGTTACAGTCCAATACAGTCCAATACGAGAAGTCAATGAAAAGAATAACCATACACAAATCAACATATCCAGAAATTTTTCGCTGAAAATTCATGTAACTGAAAATTACAATTTTACTCACCAGAAAATCAAAAGTAGGAATCTTTGTACACACACAGAATAGTACATCTATCAATTATAATCTAAATCCATTATCAATAATACCTATTTCATTATCAACTATCCAAAAACTTTAACTTGTAACATCATATTCCAAATATCATACAAATCCATACCAACCAAGTATAATCCATCTAAATTAAATATCACTCCTTTCCAACTACAATAGCATAAGAAAGTGAGAATGCGGATACAAGAAATGAGCCCAATTTTTAATCTGGCGAATAGATCGCTACAAAAACACTGAATTTTCAAAACAGAGGATTGTACAAAAATAAATGTCTTCCATATACAGAACAAATGCTCTTCGTACACCAAAATAAATAACCTCCTGCATAATAAAGCTCTTGCAAGGATTTGAAATTATTTTGTTGTAAGTATGCCCGGCCAAGTTGCTACCTACAGCCAATAAATTACCTACAAGCAAAATAAATAATAAGCCATTATCAACAAAAAAAAATTATAGATAGGTTTTCATTATAGACAGGTCTTTTAGTAGAGTAGAAATTATTTTACACAGAATGACTATTAATATTGATTCTTTAAATTCCTCTTACATTTTCACACAATAGAAACCAATTTCCCAGCAGGAAAAGAGAAAAAAAGAAGGAAAAGAAAAACTGGTGTCAAGTTTTTTGTGCTCCGAATACAGTATTGCAAAGGACAATCCTTCACCCAATTATTTGCACTAGTTACCAATGTGACCGGCTGTTTTCAGTCAGATATGCCTTATCAAAATTTTCCCCTCGATATAAGCTCCTCCTACATAATGTAGACAGTATAGAATAGAAGCCAAAAAAAAAAAAAAGGGTAGCGGACCATGGTCCCTGTCTGTATGGGACTATATATACAGAAAAATGTTGGTACTCTACCATATATAAGTGTATGCCTACTTTTATAAGTGTAGGTACTCTGCTATATATAAGTGTATGCCTACTCCTCTGCATCTTGGATCATACTGTACCCAATCCTAAATGCCAGGAATGATTTAATGTATCAAAATCTATTAGCAGAGTACCCATAATACACACATAATCTAAAAATTATGATCAAGATTGAGATACCGTGAAGCAAAATAGCACAGAAATCATCTAGCTCAAGAGCAAAATGTATATACTCTATACCTGTAAATACGTGAATCGTGATGGTTCTACACTATAGGCTTCAAAAAAATTCATTCAGTTCGATATTTTAGTAGTGTTCTCTCTTTTGTGAATAACACCATATCAATGTCCTTATGCAAGTTCCTTGGGGCACACAAATTGATACTTCGATTACAAATGCACAATATTGAGGCACGTTAAAGTCATAAAAGTGCCATTGAGCCAGTGAAGTTATAATCAAACCAACTGATGTTTTCTTCAAAAAAATTCATTCAGTTCAATATTTTAGTAGTGTTCTCTCTTTTGTGAACAACACCATATCAATGTCCTTATGCAAGTTCCTTGGGGCACACAAATTGATACTTCAATTACAAATGCACAATATTGAGGCACGTTAAAGTCATAACAGTGCCATTGAACCAGTGGAGTTATAATCAAACCAACTGATGTTTTCCACAAAGGTATTTTCTAAAACTTCAATTGCATCTGTTTCATGTTTAAGGTGTAACTGCATTGTTTGTGTAAAATTTTAACAACCAGGACATATACTAACAACTATAGGAATAGATTGCGTTCACATTCAAAATAGTTGCGACACTCAGTGAGTTCAAATTAATTGCTAGTTGATACACTACTGCTTAAAGTTTGTCATTTCAGCCAGGATTAGCAAGCAAGAACAAAAGTCTAACGAATTGGGAAAGATATCTACACTTCTACTAGTGATGGCTTTCAATGCTGCCAATAAATTATTATGTCACCATCATTTTAGACATTGACAAATTTGCATCATTGTTGTATTCATAGCTCTCCCTCTCTCACATTATGGGATTCGCACGCAAGAGGGAAGGCTATGAATTAACTACAGTGGTCATTGGAATGTCTGTTCATCTCATGAACTACCCTGATTTGGAAAAAGAACAGTGACATACAACAAAACAGTTGATAGATGTCAATTCAGTTTTTTAGTGCTTCAGAAGATAAATCTAACAGTAAGAAACATACTACCTAATCAAAGACTCACCAAAATATTGCAAACTTTTCACACATTAAGCATGCCTAATGAAAATGTTTTGAACACAAAGTGAACCTTTATCAAGGGAACAAGAGGAAGCTGAATAGATGTTGGATAACAGCCAGGATTTGCAACTAGATTAGCATCTTGGATTTCTCTTCTATAAATCTCAGTCAAACCATAGACAGTTTCTCTTTGGTCCAAACAAAATAAAAGACTTGTTCACACTTGCAGACCAAAGCAAGTTTAAGGAAAAGGAGTAATTGTCAAAAACAATGATTAAAACACCCAATATAATGATAACTGTCAGATAGGGGGGATACAATAATGATAACTGTCAAAAATAATGGGGTCTCAACATCTATAAATAGTTCTATTATATCTTGTTTTAAGTTGCCATGTCAAGCACCTTGATCCATTTGGGCAAAAAAGCAATAAAACTCGACTCCATGACTTAACTACAGTGTTATTGTTTATGTTGAGTGGTGTTTTGTCATAATCAAATAATTCTTCAAAGCCTAAAAAATAGAACATAAATTCTCAGCACTAATCATACAAGCTTAGCTGCTGCACAAGATAATAGAACATGCACAATGCTTTAAAAGCCCCAACCTTATTCAATTAGCAAAAACTCGTACCAACACCAAAGACATTTCTTAAATCAACACCAAGATTCTTAAATCCTTATAATTTTATCATAATTGCAATTGCTACTAGTCTTGATCATGCACAAATTTATAAGCCCAGACTTGCCCAAAATAGATCAGGCTAACTGACAAAGCATTGATTCACTTATTATTGAGAGTTCATATGGTATAAAGTTAAGTAAATTGATTCTAGATTGAATACTTAACCAATTTCTAGAAACAGGGAAGGTTCAGGCAGAGAGAACTAAATGCAGCATGTGTAAATTGGGAAGCCCCTACTTCCGCACTGTATTTCTTTACAACACCTTTCAATCATTTTGGCTTTTTTCTGAATTGTGTATATATGTTAACCCTTTTTCAGTGAAATTATTGTCGTTGCTCCAAGATCAAAAATTCTTTTATCAAGCTTGCGTCAATCACATTTTCTAGTGCAAGAGGGATAACTTATCATTTGTCTAGAAATGCTAACTGTGTATGCATAAAGGGGCGTGGCAGGGTAGGGCAGTGATGATCAGAATAAATTGCCATCCTACGTCCTTTGAATTGTTATTAATGCCATACCCTACTCATCTGAATATTGATCAAAACACTACATAATCATGACTACGATGATGATTTCCTCCTTTTCGACTAAAAGAAAATCCACCATCGTGCGATCTCAGCTACAAACTGCAGACCACACATCAAAATCATCCAAGATTCCCCTGATATTCACATGTCTACAGATGCATATCTACCATATTTATTACGTGTATATGAAGCATCTCTATTGAGAACACAAACACCTAAACAAAATCAACCCAGATCCGACCAAAAAAGTCAAAAAACAAAAACAACCCAACTGAAGAGCCTCAAATGCAAGTACCCTTACCGAACAAAAATCAAGAATTCAAAAGAAATCGCAAATGAGACCAAGAACAGAGGCAAAGATGAGAGAGAGAGAGAGAAGTACCTCAGGCTCAGACAAGGGTTTGCACTGTATGAGCTGTGCAATCTGCTCATCGAGATTCCCATGGGTATTCAAGGCGACTAGATCTACACTCATCTTCTGGATTATATACAGGAAACGATTTCAATGAAGAAAAACAGTGATAGTTCTATCAATACCGAAAAAAATGGTGTAGAAGAACACCTAATCACCAACCTAGATTTCGGGTCAATACGCGAACTCGTCGCCAAAGGGCCTTACTTTTGGCTACTAAATTTTTTTAGTCTGTAAAAGCCTCACTTTTGGCGACCAAACAGACTTTTAGTCGCTGAATGCCTCACTTTTGGCTACTAAATTTTTTTAGTCGCTAAAAGCCATATATCAGCGACCAAATAAATTTTTAGTCGCCAAAACTTATACTTTTGGCTACTAAATTTTCTTAGTCAGCGACCGTGAGGAGGAGCTGTGGAGGCACAGCTGGTGGAGCGGCGGTGAGAGAGGGAGGGGAGAAGAGCAACGGAGAGGGAGAGGGAGAGGAAGAGAGACGCTGAAGAGAGAGAGACAGAGGCGCTGGTCTGTTGTCTGGGAACCAAATATATATATATATATATATATTACACCATTACCGACTAAATATTTTTAGTCGCCAATTCATTTTATAAAATCCCTCCAAAATTTGAAATGTTTGGCTCCAAAAATTTTTGATTTTTGGCGACTAAAATAGTTTTTGGCCGCTGAAAATAAGGTTTTGGCAACCAAACTTTGGTCGCCAAAGATAAATAATAATTTTTTATATTTCCATTCGGTGACAAAATAATTTTAGTAGTCAAAAATTCAATATACGGCGACTAAAAAAAATTTTTGTCGCTGAAACTAAGTTTGGCGACCAAAGACAAAAAAATAATTTTTTACTTTTCATTCGGTGACTAAATGCTTTTAGTAGCCAAAACTCAATATACGGCGATTAAATTTTTTCTTTTGTTGCCAATTCTAGAATTTTTAGCGACTAAATTTTTTCTTAGTCTCCAATAATCAATATACGCCAACTAAAAAAAATTTGTAGCTAAATATTTCACTTTTGCGGACAAAAAAATTATTAGTCGCCAATTCCCCAACTTTTGGGGACTAAATTTTTTTTAGTCGCCAAATGAGCATTTTGTTGTAGTGATACAACACGAACCGAACACGGAGCGAAAGACATGACACGATAGCACGAAATAATAAATGGATATGGTTAGTATTAAGGTAATTTTAACACGAACCTAAAATGACACGAAACGAACACGACTGACACGACACAATGTCCACTCCTACATTAGGATTGCAAAGATAATTTTGCTAGCCATTCTATTCCATCATATTTGCATGCCAAAGTGTTCTTCCTCTCCCACGGCACAAGTCAACAAACTTGTTTAACCTCAAAAATCTTTTCAATAAAAGCATTTTTATTTGAGTCCCAAGTGCATTGACAATTAAATTTTTTTTTTAAAATTAAAGAAATAGAATTGAGGTAAGATTAAATATGAGTAATTTCATCTAGGAGAGATTAGTTTCATAAAATTTTACTTGTCAAGAAGAAATTTTAATGTTTCCATACACCTAGTATTTTTTAGATAATACATTAATGACACCAACTCAAAATGTCACAAGATGATAATACTAAAAAATAAAATGGATATGATAAATGTGGAGAAATTCAGGATTTCCACCCCTACTAGATACATCCTTCAATTTATTCTTGTTACTATTACTTTTTATTTAAAATTTTCAAGAGTTGATTATTTTCAATGTCTTGGGTGGTGAAAGCGCAGTCTAAACATAAGAAGATAGCAAATTAGCAATTGTAAAAAAAGAAACACGGAAATGCCAAAGACCCCACCCCACAAGCATTTGTCATTGACACCATATAAATTAGTCTGTTTATTGTAATTGTTTAGTGTCAAAAGTCCCTCCATTCTAGGTTTTTTTTTTTTTTTAAGAAAATGCTAATGACTCTGTATGATATTATTTAATATTGAGATTGGCACCCCTCTACGCAAGAGAGATTCAGAGTTTTGGCCATGAAAGAAGAATTAGGTGTTGGGTTATGATGTTTTTAAAATAGCAAATCTAGTCTACATGTCCTAATTAGTTATCAAGAACCTTAAGTGAAGCCTATTTCAAAGAAAATATTAACAAATCAGATTTGTCTCCCCTCTCAAGAGAGATTATATAATCCTCTTCATTATCAATTTGTAATGGAGAGATTTCATTACATTATCCAACAATAAGTGTAATAATTTTTTTTAATTTAAAATAATTATAAATTTATATTTTTATTTCATAATCATTAGATAGGTAATGCAACCTCTCTATTATATGTTTGTAAAAATTCATTTCAGGGTATTCTCATATAACAATTTTTACGATGCAAACCCCACACAAAAAGACAAATTCATCTCATCTCAAAAATTATTAAATAATTTAGAGAGATTACGGATTATGTCCCTTACCAATCACCAAATACTAAGTCCTCTTGTTATTTTTTATGTACCAACACAAAGTTGTGAGTATGTTCCTCAACTAATCACAATATTATTAAAGCAAACACTTCAAACCATACCCAAGACCACTTAATAACTTCTCTCTCTATCTGATGATTCTCACCGTATCATGATTCAATGATGAGAGCTGCTGGCTTTACACAGGCTTGGAAGAAATTTTTGTGTGAATAGAGTATCACGGAGTTGTGGAGGTATTATTAGCGATTGTGAAAGACGATGGATAAGAGAAAGGAAAAATTCTCTCTCTAGAATATGACCATTGTTGCTGAAATTTCCTCCCATGGCCGTTCGCCTAAAGAAGATGATCATCTTGCCAGGAGTACGAAGAAAATTAAAGGCGACCAAACGGAACAAATAGATGTGTCCGTGGGGGAACAGTCATCGACCCTGCAGCTCTTACATTCAGACTCATCTGATCCAGATCTGACAAAAGCCACAGTGCAACAGCACCCGAATACAGAGACAACGGAAGTGAACGAAGAAAAGGGAAGAGATGGAGATGGGGCAACTGCTAAATCATTTAAACAAGCACTCCTCCACTCAAGATTTAATGAAAACAACTTTGATTGTGATGTTGCTGAGATATCATATGATGATGAAGAAGATATGATTGAAGATCTTGGTGTGAATGATCCAGAGTCAGGCCAAAATGATCTCATCCCTTAAGTCAAAATCCCACCTGGTCTTCTCAGGAAAATTAGGAAACCATGGAAAAAGTGCCTTATAGACTATAGTAAGGTTACTGGATAAGAATATTGGTTACAAGCTTTTTGTAACCAAGATGAGGAAAATTTGGGGTTTACAAGTGGATTTTGAAACTCTAGATATTGGAAACGGTTTCTTCATAGTGAAATCTGATATGATGGAGGACTATACCAGGGTATATACATGCGGGCCATGGGTGGTGATGGATCACTATGTCACAGTTCGCAAGTGGCAACATGATTTTAAATCAATTGTTGCAGAAGAAGATACAACAGCTATCCCCAATCTTCCAATTGAATACTACAACGAAAAAGTTTTATTCCATATTGCAAAAATTCTGGGTAAGCCACTGAAGGTGGACATCAACACAGCCATGGCAGCTAGGGGGAAATATGCGCAAATGTGTGTGGAAATGGACTTGAGAAAACCACTAATCTCCCACTTTGTAATAGGTACGCACAACTATGTTATTGAATATGAACACTTAGACACATTCTGCTTCTTTTGTGGCAGGATTGGTCATCGGAAGGATAACTGTTCCGAACGGCTACAGAGGGTACCGGAGAAGACGAACCAGATACCCAGTGTAGCAGGCCAGGAATCGCATGGGCCAAGCACATCCCAAAACCCAAGTAGCCCTAAATTTACTAAAGCTGAGATGGGCCCACAATATGGGCCATGGACAAAGGCACCCATTAGGAGGAAACAAAATACTAAGTGGCACCTCTCACAGAAGCCCACCCAGCAGCAAGGAAACCGATTTGAGGTGCTCCAAGAAGATCGAACTTTTGAGGGGGAGCAACCAGCCCAAGGGGGGCAGAGATACTAACAGATGGACTTCAAACATAAAGGAACAAGTTTCAAGTATAAACAAAAAGCCCAAACACCAAATGATAGAAATATGGGTCCCCAACCCATGGCTGATTCAGCCACAGATTTGCTCAGAGAAGAGATCTTAAGAGGCAAAAGAGTAGACCATGGTAATGTGACACGTAAGGAGGCTATGACTACTACCATAACTGCAACAGCTGAAGCCACTGAGCAGAACAACCTACACACGCTACCTCAGTCCTCTCAATCTTTAACCAGCTGAGAACAAGGTGAGCTCAACAAAAACCCTAGAATCAATAAAAAGCCCCCGGATAAGAGTAAGGTTGAGAGGAGAATAAATACAAACCGAGTAAGAGGTTATGGAGAATCCAGTGATGAACCCAACCTCTCACACGATATCACAGCTCCAAGTGACGCTGTTCCTAGAACCAGAGAAAGAAGCATCTCACCTCGTCGTAGCCGAATGGTAGATCGAAGAAGTGAAACTCAAGATCAAACCGTGGTGGCAGTTCGAAGCCAGCCAGAGTCAACACTTGGTGACCGTGAGCTTGAAACTCTCCATGGAGGACAACCACACCAGAGTTAGGGGGCTCGACTCTAGGACTCCCAGAACAGTCGCCCCTTCCCAACTTCCCCAAATGTCTCCAGTGGATATGTTATTCTGGAACTGTCGTGGTGCATGTAACAACAAGTTCAAGAGGACCATTAAGGAGCTGATCAAAACCCATAAGTCTGATCTTTTAGTGCTCATGGAAACTAAGGTCGATCTCCAATCTATGGGTATGTTCTTCAATACTCTTGGCCTCACAACCACTGCACATGTTGATCCCATCGGTAGGAGTGGTGGTATCTGGATGTTGTGGAATCCAAACAATGTTAATGTTTGAATCTCAGAGGCTAACTCTCAGATGATCTTAGCCACAAACTCTAGGCAAAATTATCCCGAATGGATGCTCTCGGCAATCTATGCTAGCCCAAATCCTAGAATCTGTGATGAACTTTGGGAAAGTTTGAATATAATAGCCCAGGATATGAATATGCCTTGGCTGGCTGCTGGCGATTTCAATGATTATGCTAGTAGGGCTGAAAAAAGAAGGTTCACGATGAACCAAAATCAGAATCTAACCCAAAGTCAAAGGCGTAGCAGGAAATTCACTAACCGAATCAACAACTACAATCTTATGGATCTTGGCTGCACTGGTCCTAACTTCACTTGGTCAAATAATAGGCAAGGCTGGGCTAATACTTAAGTCCGACTTAATCGAGATCTGTGCAATGCGGAATGGAGGACTCGGTTCCCTGATGGTTTCATTCGTAACCTCCCCAGAACTTACTCCGATCACTCTCCGATGATGGTTTGCACTCAAGGTAAAATTTCTTCTAATCCTTTTACTAGACCTTTTAAATTTAAAGCAACCTGGATAACCCATGAGGGTTTCAGGTCTGTTGTTGAGCTCAACGGAACCATTCTAGCCCTATCCTCATTGATAAACTCCAAAGTAT